AAGAAAGCACTCACGTTGCCACTCACGTACGAACACGTGAAATTTGACCTAACTCTGCAACCAGAGAAGCTGGAGCGCTGAAACTTTCTGAGAATCACCCAAGACCGTGTTTGAGCAACTGTGAGCAAAGAAAGCACTCACGTACTAACATGTAAAATTTGACATACTGTGCAACCGAAGCATCTAGAGCACTGGATCTTCTGGGCATGGATTGGGAGTCATTGTAATAATTGCTTACAGTTGTACTGGCCAATCCCAATTCTTTTAGCTAGAAGCATCTGCCAGGAAGAACGTGCCACTGGCGAAAAAACCTGCCGGGGGGAACTGCGCAAAAAACGCATCCTCGTACCGGCAGCCGGTACGCTTTCTACTAGGTTACCAATAATTTTTAGTAAAAGCCATAATTTATACTTTTACCTCTACTAATTTTTGTTTTTAATAACATAACTATCTAAAATTAAACTTAAATTTACACTAATTACTACCCGGAAACATTTCTTACCATTATATTTTACAAGATTTCACAACTTTCGCCAATTTCTTAATATAATTTGCCATGTCTTCTTTCAACTTAAAAATATTATTCTATTTCTGTCACACTTTTTTGTATGCAATTCACGCTACATCTCCGCATATTTAGTACCGAAAATTGTAAAATTTTTTTAAAATTACGTGCAGAAATGCTGAATCAGAAACCGAACAGACAAAAAGTTAAAGCAATGCAAGAAGCACCAAAGAAATCCGCGTATCGCGTTGACTGGTGTAAAACAGGCGCGAATCCATAGACGCCATTGAGGATGATGCTGCTTGTAGACGACTTAACACTGTCGTTCTGTTCGAGTTCCGCTTCGGCTCGTAATTACGCTTACCATCTACGAAAACTGTCAATACTTTCTCCGACGTACTGTCAATATTATCCACCGCTGCCTGAAAAAGAATGCACCAACTTTTTAGATTGCATATGTAATCCTACAATTCGACATACTTCCCCTCCTCTTACTAATTCTTAACTCTTCGACCTACTTCCCTTCGCTCACTAATTTCTAACACTCCCACCAAATTCTAAATAATTCTGTATTACCTACCTTCTCACTTACTAACTACCCCGCCCTCCTTTTCCCTCAATTAATTTTTTTTATATACAACCCTTCCGAAAATCCTGGTCTTTAGTCTCGGAATCAACGCGCGTCACTGGTCTGCCACGTCCTGCCACGATTAACGCTACTAACTGGCCGTCTTGACAAGATTAGCGTCCTCCTTCCGCTGAATAGCTTGTACGAAGTCCCGGCTCGTTTTTATTGAAGTGAAGCTTTGTTGGAGAATAAAGTGATGGCACACTTCACTGTCTTCCCCAGCTGCAGTCAAAGACCACGTGAAGACCTAACATATATTTACAGAAATCAGTAATTTGTACCATGACCAAAATGAAGTGTAATTCTTCCAACAAATAAAAAAAACCAGGATGAGGTGTAAGTAGGAAGGCACAGAGGTACGAGGACGGATAGGGGAGTAGAAGAGGAACAAAAAGTCTGTTAACCTGCGTTCAAGACATCTGAACATTTCTTTCCAATTTCTCAAAAAT